AGCTGCCTGGGTGCAGCGTTGGAGCGCTGTGCTCGCTGTCGCTGCTCAGCGTGCTGTCGCCGCATCCCTCTTCGACCTCCCCGCAGACTCTGAACCCGGTGCTCGATGTCTTGGCTGATGCACGCTGGCTCGTGGCACCGGAGCCCAGCCGCTTGCCGGCTCGGCTCGGCTAAGCTTGTGCGTTGCGTTTGCCCCGGCCCACCGTAGTCTGCAGCTTAGTAGCCTCGTTCACCGGGACCGCCTCGACCTTTCGTAAAAAGCTGGAAAAATCCTGCAAAAAAAGTTTTCAACACATTCTGAACAGGGAATTTCACCAAGTGTCGATAAATGTCCGGATTAGGCTCCTGGGCGTGGGCTCGGCCGATCGCCGCCGCTTTGACTTCGTCATGTACGGGGCTACCCCGCTTGGCGAGGCGTTGTGTTGCGACGTCACACTCGTGTAGCCATTGCCATTGACACAAGGGGGACGGCCCCAGCTTTCTGCTGGCATTTGTCATGCTGCCGCCATCGTTTTCGCAGACCGATGGTGACTGCGCGTCCCCGCATGCGAGGCAGTGGGCATGAGGCATCGAGTCGCTCCGCCTCGTCACCCGGCTTGCGCGACTCCGTGCGGAGTGCGCTCCTGCCGCCTTGCGACCTGCTGCCCTGCCCTGCCCTGCCCCTGCCCTTCCGAAAAACACCCCAAGAGCACAACCACACCGTCTACATGCCTCCCCCATCTCCCCAAGCTCCCTCCTTCGAGCGCACGCTTTGCTCTTCGCGGAAATGAACTAAAAAAGGTGCGTGACAAGAAGAGCACACCGCAGTTTTGTGGTAACTTGGTGCAGGCCATTGCCGTGCTCGTTGCACGTGGTGACGGCGAGAAGGAAACCTTCAGTTGTTCAGACGTCAGTCCGGATCCCAGCTGACGCCATGCCGGGGAATTAACTACTCATGTTAGCGATGGCTGTCTACAAAAAATACGACGGTTGATGTTAGCTACCTTGTTCAAGTTGTGTTCCCGGAGTTGTCCCAGTTTGCATGACCGAGCAAAAAATAAGTTCTTGTGCAGCGGCAGAGATCGTCCGCGTTGAATTGTTTCATTATCCATGTTTGACCGTGTGCTTTGTGGCCGAGGTGATGCATATGCGGGTGTTGGCCAGCTTGTTTGTGTCAATTCACGCCTGCCGCATGCTTAGATCTTGGGTGGCACGTTTGGGCTGGGCTAACGCCATCCAAAGTATCATGCAGATGCGTTGAAACGTCATGTTGAAGAAGGTTGCCGTCAAGTTTTGACCAGCGGGGCTTGATCTGGCAGGTTTGCTTTGACGGCTGCCGCAAGGTTGTTGTGCTTCCGAACCGCACCTTTGGCCGAAGGCATGCAGCAACATCATCGTGCTCATGCGATTCATCGACGTGTTCAGGGATGGCTTGCGAGACGTCCACACGCCGAAACCTCGGTCTGGACGTGTTGAATGCGGTTGGGGACATTGATATTGGGTGTTACCACAGGTTCATGATGAAAATGTGTTTGGTTGGCTCGGTTTTACAGCCTGCGAGCTGTACAGTAGCTGCCAGGGCGCTTTAAGTTGCAGCTGCATAGCACCATGACTATATGGTCAAACATGGATAAACCTCGGGCGACGCCGGTGGGGTGCGCCGGGTAAGATTTCGTGAAAGGATATCCTGGTATTTGGTTCGCATTATCCCAGGCGCGTTGGTGGAGAAAGAGGGCGTTGTCAATGCCCCGCGCTTATGTGCACGGGTCCGCTACATCCACACAAAGCAGCGGCTGTTCTCGCGTACATCAATAAAACTACTCATGTGGCAACTGGTCGCTGTGTCAAGTTGTTCAAAGGAATCGAGTAAGGCTTCCCATAACGATACAAAGATGGCAGCCATTGTGCCCCAAGGTTTACGGACCAGTCCAGCGGATGGCAAGTGACGATGCAGCGACTTTGGCGTGCAGCGAGGCAAGGATCCTCACACGCCGGCATACATGCACACATGCATACATACATACATACATACATACATACACACACACACATGTTACATGCAAAGGTAGGCTTGCATCATCATGCATGTATATATATGTATAGATATAGTTACCTATGTGTGACTGTATGTATGGACGTATATAGGTCCAGTGTACCGCATTTTGGTTTCAGTCATGTCAGTCTGCAGACCTGTAGACATTGGAGAAGCCTTGGGGTGAGATTTGGCCAGTTGGGTTTGGTTGTGCCTGATAGTCTGCAGCACTTGGACCGCGCTAGCGCTGCTAGCGAAAATGTTGCCCTTTGGCAATAGCCGTAATCAATCCCATCCTCGAAGGTTGCTCCAGGGTATTCTGGTAGCGCTGTTGGCATTTGCCAAAACGGCGTGTTCAGCAGGGAGCCCAGTCCTTGTCAAAGGCGAATCCCAGAATCGTTCAACATGACATTCGAGGTGTCACCACCGACAACTGCCAGCCTGGCCCTGAGTGTCTTGGGGGCCGGTGTCGATCAAAGCTGCATTGCCTGGTCTGCAAACACTTCGCTTGACAGGCCCTTGCCTTGCACAACGGCGACAGAGACGGAAGTGCAGGCTCCAGCACCCAGCTCGTTGACGCTGCAACTTGCGTTTTGGCTGGACACCGCGCTGGACCACGAACGAACATGCATGCTGCTTGGTGTCCGACCGGGTGATTTTGCAAGTTTTTGCTGGCCGATGTGAGGCAAGTTGTCGAGAATTGACAAAGACTGGCCAAGCATGTCCTTCATGCACACTCGGCGGAATCGCTCGCGACACCATAGCACGAAAACCATGTAAGCTGCACCCTTAAACAGGCAGGAGCCCACGTTAAGCTTACGTTACGAATGGCAGGTGGGCGAGATCCTTGTCAACGTCACGCCGACTTCCGAAATCTCCAGTCGGCGACTTATATTTGGCATGCATGCATCGTTGATGATTTGAAAGTTTCCAGAAGCATGTCTAGGGATATGGTCCAAGGCTTTGGGGTAGTCGCTCTTGTCATAAGGATTGTCTTTGGTCTTGTTGAGGCATGTTAGGGTGTGTATTGAAGGAGGGTTTAGGTTTAAGCGTTGAGCGAACTTGAAACTGCTGAATATGTTGCGCTGTCCTTTCTACGGGGTCGTCCCACATCAATGGAAGTCGCAGGAATGTCGCAGGTCAGTGTCGGCTTTTTTAATCAGATTTGCGACGCTGCAATGCCGACAGCCAAATGATTAAACACACGCCAACTGCAAATACATTGCTGCATACATGTCTAGACGAGACGCAATCTGAACGCCAAGCGAAGTGTCATCCGACACTTCAGCAACAGAGGCAGAAGGCCACGTGCCGGCTCTGCACAACTTCTCGGTCGGCTATTTTGATACGCTTGAGATATGTTTCGATGCATGTTTCAACTGCAAGTCAATCTTCCCAGCAAGAAGAATTTCTCAACAAATTCGCGTCATGAACCAGACCGAGCAGCAGTACAAGATATCTGCAAGCGAGCCGTTTGCCAGGCGGCGGTGGTTGGGCAATGTCCTGCGGTGAGATCAACATCAAGTGACCACGGGAACCGAATGGAGCTCTTGACCTTAGAAGTAAGTCTTGGCGGACTTTTGATATGGCTTCAAGTCCCTAAACCCTAAACCTTAAACCGAGTTTCAAGCATACTCTGCAAAGTATTTGCTCAGATGCTTTTAGGTTGTGTTGTTTCGCTACGAACCAGCCGAAGGAGCGAGAGCCTGCAACCTCGCGGCATATGGGAGTGGTACCTGATGTTTGGTGTCCTTATAGTAAGGATCCTGTAACTTAGGATGCTTTCCTAGGGTCCCCTATTTTCGGAAACCCCCCTATTGGCAAGACTGGCTTGTCAGTGGTGTGCGAAAGCTGCCGATATCCAGTGGTCTGTCTCGGAATGCCGTCCTGTAAAGACACGCAGTTGTCACCGACAACAGCTGGGGACATTACTACTCCAACAGCCAAGCTTACTGCCCTCTACTGAGCCCCGAGCCACGAAATCGTAAACCCTAAACCCTGAACCCTCAAACCCTAAATCCTAAACCCTAACCCAGAGAGCCCAAAACAGCTTAATTAAGGAATATAGCTTAAATTATAAGGGGCTTCATACGAAGATTTAAGCTATATATCCCTTGTTTAAGGGGTATTGGGCTCTCTGGGAACAGGCTTCAGGATTGGAGTGTGGAGGCCCCAGACGCTCGAAGCCTTGAAACCCTCATCCACGAGAGACTCCAAAACCCCTTAATTAAGTAATATACCTTAAAATATAATAGGATCCATATGATTTAAAGTATATTCCTCTGGGTTCAAAAAACAGCCAAACACCCCTCTAAAACCCCTACGCTCAAACCTCCCCATTCAAAAAACAAATTTCAAACACTTAAAACCCTAAGAAACCCCCAACCCCTAAACCCGAAGAAACCCTGAACCCTAAGAAGCCCAAAACAGGTACGAAGGCTCCGTTGCTTTCAGCTGCTTCCTCGGTTCGGTCACGGCCGATGCGTCCGGCTGCGGCCCAGCCGCTTGCAACGACTCGCAGAGGCACTCGGGCGGTGGGTTTTTTAGGCGAGAAAAGGGTAGGGTTTAGGGGTTTAAGGGGTCTAGGGTTTAGGGTTAGGATTCTTTTATAGTATCTAGCAAATAGTTTGGGCTTTAGGGTATAGTATGCTACATCATCATGTTTTTGGGGTCGGCTCTCGGAAATTGATTGGGACAGGGTTCTTCTTTAAAGGTTTGTACAAGGGTTACTTTAAGGGTTGGGTAGAGGGCCCTAACAGCTAGAAGGTAGGGTTCCTTTCAAGGGGTTTAGGGATTTAGGCTTCAGGGTAAGGGGTTACAATATGGGTTACGCCGATTGGTTGAAGCCCAAACCAAGTACTACAATCCTTTGGGACATCATTCCATTGACTGCAGCGGACATACCACTGATCACTGCACAACCAGGCCCGTGTATTTCGCGGTGCATACGTTCCTGCACTGCTTGTCGCAATTTGGCACCATACCACCGCACAGGTGAACCAATCTCGAAATCAAAATTCCTCACCCTCAACCCATCACATGTTGGACATGCTCTGCTGGAATGCAGGTCGACTGTGCTCTCGAATGGTGACAGTTCGAGCATCCTGCAACATTGCTGCAATCAGGTAAATAAATGTACACTCATAGACTTGGGGACATTCATGCACATAATTCGTCCCTCATGTCGTTCATAATTCCTTCTTTTCAATCATTTATTCATTAACAGTTCATTAATTCGTTCTGGACGTCTCGCAATCCAGAGCTTGTGTGCATACTCATGTTGGCATGGCCCATGGCGTTGCAGAGGCATGCCCTTTAAAAATCAATACGTCTGCGCACATTTAAGACTATTGGTACAGAAAATGCTCGCCATAATCAAGATTAGTACTCTTGTTGTTGCTGTTGCTCGTGCTTTCATCCTGGTGATTCTTGTCCTCAATGCACCATGCCGCGTTGCTTGATGTCAGGTTGTATAAGCTTCAGGCTGCAACAGGCCCATACCCAGTGCCGAGTCGCCCCTAAACCGTAAACCCTAAACTCTAAACCCTAAGCCCTAAACCCATACCCAGTGCCGAGTCGCGAGAGTCTAAACCCTTGCACGATCGTTACAGCTGAGAAATGGCTCAGGGAGGAGAACGTGGGAATTAATCCGAATCCCTACCTCGGCCATAACTAACCTACATTGTCAGGGTTCCTTATTATGATTTCCTTATATAAGTCCTTAAAAACCTAGGTCAGTTGGGGTTAAGGTAAACCCTTAACCCTGGACTGTGGACTACTGTAGGCTCGACATACAAAGAGAGCCCAATACACCATAAAAAGAAATATAGCTCAAATCTTAATATGAAGCCCCTTATAGTTTAAGCTATATCTTAATTAAGCTGTATTGGGATCTCTGGGTAGTAGCTCGTCGTAAGGTTTGCGCAGGTCAGCGAAGTGCAGGATCCCAGAGTCGCCGAAGCCCCCATAAAGCCGCTGTAAACCATACCCTCCGGGTTTTTTTAAAGGAGAGGCCTTAGGTATTTGGGGCCCATTATGCTAGAATTGTAATAAGTAGCTCCACAAAATAGTATACGTGCTTGACTAGGCCCTTAAATTATGGAAACCCCTGTGTGGATCCGTTTGCCAGTTGCTTTGTGTTGAGGCTCACTGCCTCTGCCCTGGGTGCTGGTGCAGACCGCACGCTCGAAACTCAGGATTTCTAGTGTAAAGAGCCTGCATAAGTGGAATAAGGATTGCTGGATGCACTCTGGTACAATTGCTTAAGGTCTATGCAGAGGGTATATGAGCCGAAAAGTTGTATACTGGTACTTATATGGCACAAAGCTGTAGGCCGGTGGTTCTCTCAGTGTGGAGAAGACCCATCGAAACCAGCGAAAGCTTGCGTTGCGAAGACTTCGCAAACTTGTTCAAAGCAACACAGAAGCAGAAACCCTAAACCCCCAAACCCCTAAACCCTAAACCCATGGCCTCGTTTCAAACTTTCACCCTCGCCCTTCGAGGCCTCACAGCTTCGCCAACGAGTCGGTGAGCTGCAAGGCCCCGGTGTTTATGGCATGAAGAGTCTTTAGGGTTCCTTATGATTACGATGTATAATGATTGTAATACAAGAATGATAAGCACCAAACCCTACTCTAAGTAAGTTAGCCCAGCCCAGCAGCCCGGCCCAACCCAGCCCGCCCTAGGCCCACACCCCTCCCAGCCCAAGCAGCCCGCCCCCCGCCGCAGCCAGCCAGCCCAGCCAACAGGCCCAAAGCAGCCCAACAGTCCTACAAAACGTCACCCCCAGATTCAAAATCAGCTTCAAGAAGGAAAGCGTTTCGGTCAAAACGTTTCGGTCAAAACTTACTGGCACCCAAACCCTTAATAATTTCTATGAACCCCGAACCCCAAACCCCAAACCGAAAAGAGCCGTTTGGAAAATGACACCCGGACCGAGGCCGAAGGCTCTCGGATAGCAGAACGGGACTAAAACCTCATGGTTCCCTAAGTCTAAGGTTGAACCCATGGGCCCCTAACATGGGCCCGTAGGGGATTCTAGGGACCCTTAAGGGTATATATAGGGTATATAGTAGGTATATTAGGGTCCCAGGGTTAAGGGCCCATGCTAGGGGCCCATGGGTTCTACCTTAGACTAAGGTAGTCGTGGTTTAGATGCCTTCTAGGGTTTAGGGTTTAGGGTGATTCAATCCCTAAATCCTAAACCTCTTTATAGCAAACCACATGACCCAAAAAAACCCGAATCCGAAACCCTAAACCCTAAACCCTAAACCGAAGTACAAAGTTCCGAAGATTCTGAGAGACTGGTAGACCCCTCATAGACACCCTCAGGATTCCGGAATGAAAGCCCTACGAGAACCTTTATCAACACCTTCCCATAGAGCCCCATAACCCTTAAATAAGGAATATAGCTTAAATCTTAATATGAGGCCCCTTATAATTTATGCGATACTCCTTATTTAAGCTGTCTTGGGCTCTCTGGGTGAACCTTGAATCCTGGAAAACTGATTCCACCTTGCTGGGTAGGAGGGAAACCAAAGCTCTAAACCCTAAGCCTGAACTTAAGAACCCTACACACGGGAACCCTAAACTCTAAACCCAGCAACCCTAAGCCCTAAGCCCTATCCTAAACCCTAAACCCTAAACCCTAGCCTTTCGGGCCTAATACTGCCAGGGTCAACTCAAGTTCAACTCCCGCATGCATGCCACAGCAGGCCCTCAATACCACTCTTGCCGGCATTGCAAGCCCGGTTCTCAGGAAGAAGGGGTCTTCAGGGTGCCTTTGGCGTCTTGAGTTTTAGGATTCAGGGGCTTTAGGGTTCTACACATGCTCCCTGGGTTGACAGTCTCTGGCGATTGCACAAGTCCAGATGCAAAAAAGGGCTTTAGGGTTTTAGGTCTTAGGCGGCTTGGCCCAAACCTAACAGAAGATCCTTGCTCCGCTGCGCGCCCTAGTTAAAGGATCATGGGACTTAGTAAGTAGGGATATAACTAAGGTAACTGTACATATAACCCCAATTAGGGGACTTATGACCTTACTTGCTAAGTCCCATCATCCTCCAAGTACCCGCTTGTGCCGCGGAGCGCCAGGCCCCAATTCAATACCAAACTTCGGCTGAGATCCTGCTGAGGTGCATCTTGCAGCATGGGGGTCTGGCCCACAGTCTCCATGGTATATCGGGGGGTTCTGAAAATGAGGGGGACCTTATTTTAGGGTCCTTATAATAAGGATCCACTTATTTTGGATCCTATTTTAGGGTCGCCTAAAAAGGGGGCCTTATTAATTGCCTATATTATTCTGGGGGGTTCCTTATTATAAATATAGTATACTGGGCCCCAAAGTCTTATTCTAATTATTAAGGCCCCTACATTATGTAATGTCCCTTGTCGCCTTTGGGCTTTGCAGATTTAGGAGTCGGCAAGACAGCTTTATCGTCCTAACCCGAACACGAAGCCAAGCCCCAGACTCGAAACTCAACTTAACAGGTTTTAGATCTCCAGAGAGCCGAATACGCTTTAAATAAGGAAAATAGCTCAATCTTAACATGAAGCCCCTTAAATTTATGCGATACTCCTCATTGAAGGGGTATTGGGCTCTCTGGGTCGTTTTTGAGGCGTGCCGATTTAGCAGGCGGAATGTTCAGGCTGCGGTATGCGGGTGATCTTTAAGGGCGGATTTATCTGCAGCGTTCGTGCCAGGGACGCAAGCACGCGACAGCCTAATGTCCTTCAGAAACGGAAAAGTAGACCGTAATAAAGGAGCCTAAATAATTACGAATACTATTTTGGGGGGTTCTTTATTATAAGTATACTAAAATATACCCCCAAATCCTACTCTAATTATTAAGGCCCCTATATTAGACCCTAAACTACACCCTAAACCGTAACAGTGGCGGTCCTGGACAGTAGAGCTCCAGGAAAACCCTCAATCCATGGTTCGGCTGCGTAAGGCCACCCAACATAGCACCATCTCTACACTTGCGAAACACTAGGTAGGCCTTTGGGACATTTCATATTTTTCCATTATTGGGCTTAGGAGGATCTTATTTACGAATATTTTTCAGAGGCTTTTGAGGGGCCAACCTAGAACATCTACAAGAACTACGGAAATGAACAGGCATATCTAAACCCTAAACCCTAAAAGTACCCAATATGCCTGGATGCTTAAGTAGACACAAAAATGCCAGCTGAAAGCCCCTACCGAAAAATCTGCGCCCGGATCTGTTCGACTCCGGTGTCTTTCTGAAAAACCCTAAACCCTAAACTCTAA